CGAGCTTTTTTTCACCAATGGTAACTTCAACTTTACTATTTTTTAATTCAAACATAAACTTTTCCGGATAACCAACAATAATCCAACTAATTTGTATTCTACGATGTTGATTTGTTTGTGATCTCCTTTTGCCAATAACGTTACTGACGTAATGAACAACAAATACAGGGGTGGTGCCATCATCCACGTAATCAATTCGTAAAGAATATATGCAATTGTCCTGGTTCATTATTGATGCGAAGATTTGACATTGAGATGGACTTGAGGTGAGATCTTGAAATTCATCACTTAAATCATATGTTACAATTAGACCAGTATCTTGTATCAGTGGGCTGATAGGAAGTGTTGTTATTCCAGCTGTTTAAAAATTATTAAATTTGTTTAATGATATATATATATTTTTTAGAACCATTTTTAAGGAATCGTTACCTTTGAGAATTTTTTTACCAAAAGTTTCCAAAATTTGATGTTTTAAATTGTCATCTAATAAATCAAATATTGGTCTTATATTATAAGATATTATTCTCCAATATTTAGGATTGTTAACCGAATTTCTCCATGATCTAACGGCTTCAGAATTAGACGGTACATAAAGAGCGTCATTTCCACCAACAATTGTTAAGGTCTTTCTTGATATGTTTAATAATTCCGATGTGATGTTTCTGAACCTATCATAATTTTGAAAATTATGACTGCTGCTGCCTCCACCTATTGCAATGTCAGATTCTATAGAGTCTTATTTATAGAAGTATAAATGCTTGTTTGAATTCTGTTAAATATGCGGTATAAATAAAAAAAAAAAAAAAAAAACTAATAATCACCTACGTACCTTGTGTGTTCGTACTGACATTGTTAACATTTTCAATAATTGCTCCGCCATAAATAACCTCACTTGCATAGAAATGGCCGTATTTTTGACAAATGTTTTTTAGTTCGCTAATTTTATTGTCACGCGAATACGTAGCATTTAATGCAGACTTTACATCATCAATGAAATCTTTATTCAGTATAATATTCTTTTTATCAAGACTTAATTTTACTCTGCTTATAATTTCACATGAATATTTCGTTACGTCATTACGAGATTTATAAAGTTCATTTACTTGTTTTGAAGAAATACCAGCAATTA